CCTAGATATGAGGAGATGAGAGGAATGGTCCAATTATAGATACAGACTAATATAAACTTGATCTCCATTATTCAGGGATTCCATATTGGCAAGTTCACCTACTCACTAAAATTAACTTCTAATTCCAAAATCAGTACTTGAGGTGCTTTCCTGATCACTCATGGACGTGCACAGAGCTGGGAAAAAAATCTGAATTGCCCCACAGGTACATTCCTAGGCAATGCTCTGTCTTCTTGTTTTAGATCATAATAAAATATAAAATAAACATATAAAAAAGAGACTAACTCTACCTGGGGAGCTAGGGAAGGCTTTATAGCAGAGAGAGCACCACAGCTGGGCCTTCCTTGAAGGATAGGTAGAAACTGTACAGATACAGAAAGAAAGGCTTTCCAATGGAACAAAATAATATGAATAAAGAAATACTGCAGTCTAGTTAATGGTAATGCATTTGGGATAATGGTTAAGAGATAAATCTAAGATGGGGTTACATCATGGCCATCTCATAGACTGGATTTTACTCAACATGTGATGGGGAAACTACTGACAAGATGTGAACATGAAAGTCACGATCAGAGCTGGGCTTTAAAAGATTTAACTAGCCGGAGTGGGTTCTAGAAAGGAATGGCAACAAAGAGACGGAAAGCAGGAAAACCAGTTAGGATGCTGTTAGTATAGTTGAAGCAAAAGGTAATAAAGTCCAAAAGTAGGGCAATGGCAATGAAACTGGAACAGAAGTAGTAACTACAAAAGATACTGCATACTCTTAGAATGAATTATTGGCTGTAGAACGATGGACCTCACAAAATTTTAGTCAGAAGAGGCAAACACAGCCATCATCCACTGTAAAAATAAAAAGGTGGCTCATATGGCTGTTTACCAGGCATGAAGAATGGGAATGAGCTGTATAAATACTTTGGTAGGACATCTTACTACTTTATGCATTTGTTAATTATTTATTGAGTGCCAAGCACTATGCAAGGTTATACAGCAGCAAACAAGACAAAACACTACTCTATTCAGTGAATTTATTGATACCAATGACTGCACTATAGCAAATCTTTATGAGAAGTCCTACACTAATATAAAAATAGCTTTTTCACTAAATGAATTTTTGTTGAAGTTGATCCTGGGTTATAGGCTTCCAGTTAAGATTCAAAGCAATGATTTTTTTTTTTTAAAGATTTTTTATTTATTTATTTGACAGAGAGAGACACAGCGAGAGAGGGAACACAAGCAGGGGGAGTGGGAGAGGGAGAAGCAGGCTCCCCGCAGAGCAGGGAGCCCGATGCGGGACTCGATCCCAGGACCCCGGGATCATGACCCGAGCCGAAGGCAGTCGCTTAACCGACTGAGCCACCCAGGCGCCCCAAAGCAATGATTTTTTGTTAAAGACCAGTTATCTGAGATCTCACATCCATCTAAATCACTGCTCAGACTAAGTCAAGTTAAAAATATTTACTGAGTGCCTATTTAATACTCACATCATACTAGGTGTCACGGAAAATACATAACAATGATTTCCAAAAATGCCAAGAAATAAACCCAGAAAAGTGCCACCCCCTCCACTTTTATAGGGAAATAAACCGCAATTCATACCCTAAAAGACCTATGCCAGGATATTATTGGGGGATAAAAACCAAAATGATATAAAAATTTCAAAAAGTGCTTATGGGTAGATATTAGAGAACTAAATACCACCTACTCTACAGATAAAAATAAGCTACTAGAAACAAATTTTTAAAACTTGAGTTGCAAAATTTGGAATGACTTGAGAACTAAAAATAATGGGATAAAAAGATGAGAATAAAATATTTAAGTAAACATGTAATATCCTTTTACAAACCCATAGGCGTTTAGTTGGATCAGAGTAAGGTATATCCTAAAATGTGTATCAGAATGATGTAGTAATGAAGAGATGAATTGTAGGATTAAACATGACTCCACTTAGAAACCTCTCCTATTCTATGGATCTCATGGTCTCACACCAATGAGTCATTTTTAAACTAATAGCAAGGATTTACCAAGGGAGCTCGTTAAAATGCAGATTCCCTGGACTCAGTTCCAGAGATTTTGAATTTGTAAGATCTGTTCTGGTGCTCAGGAATCTATAAATTTTAGTAAGCATTCAAAGTAACTCTATCGCAAGTAGTCGGAGATAACATTTTGAGGAATCCTGCAGTATTTTAACTCAATTAAGATCCTCAATTTATAAACAAGACATGCTAAACAGAGCAAGGTTAAACGCCTTACTTAAGTTTAGTCCCCATTCCTCACAGGCTGACAGAGTTAAGTCTTCCTCTACTGGGCCTTTTCTGTTGCTTCAGCCTCTTCCACTACCTTGCTCCTACCCACATTCAAAGCCAGATTGTGTGATAAGGCCGTTCACAGCCTCCTGGGCCCACACTGGGTTGGCGATGTTAATTTTTTTTTTCGTGTATCTTTTTCCACAACTGGAATAAAAAGCTCCCTGGGGAGCAACTGAGCTTTTACTTTTGTATCCCTTCACAATGAGACATATGAATATTGCGTTCTTTTTTACTGCCTTCAAATTGCAAGCAGTATGCTGCTTTTCTCCAAGTAAGTACTTAGCACAGTGCAAAGCATTTGAGTACTACACAAATGGGTGCTTTTACTTTTCAGTCCCATAAAGCAGTATTTTTCTGTGGGTCATGCCTCACATTGAAATGTGAAGCCAATCTGATGGGTCGCAAATATCATTAAAGAAAAACAGAATGGTTTGATATGTGGGTGGGGGGAGAGTGGGGGCAGGTACTGTAATGTAAAATGTGTTTCTTACTGTAAGTTGCAGTCAAAAAAGTTTGAAAGCTAGGGGCGCCTGGGTGGCTCAGTCGTTAAGCGTCTGCCTTCGGCTCAGGTCATGATCCCAGGGTCCTGGGATCGAGCCCCGCATCGGGCTACCTGCTCGGCGGGAAGCCTGCTTCTCCCTCTCCCACTCCCCCTGCTTGTGTTCCCTCTCTCGCTGTGTCTCTCTCTGTCAAATAAATTAAAAAAAAAAAAAGTTTGAAAGCTAGAATTTTGTTAATGCTGACAAACTTTTCCAACACTTCTATACCATAAAGTAGGCAAAGATATTTTCTCACCCAATTAACATTCTACCACTTGATTAGTTGTCCCATTCTCCACTCCCCAAAGCTTAATATTAGATTTATTTATTTATTCACTGCCCCATTCCTTAACTAAAATGAAAAAGAGAAGCAGTAAGTCCCAAGTCTGATGAGTATTTTTCACAGTGTAAGTTTCACAGAAGTCTGTTCCTTCTTCAGATAAAGGTCATCTGAGTGTTATGATGCACTTCGGATGGGCTCCTGGAGCACCCATCTCTGGACTCCAGTCTTTCCGAAATTCTAGACATCCCAAACAGCGCTTTGAAATGTTCACAACCTGCTTCATCCACATAGGGTTTAGGCTTACTAATGTATGTGATTTTTTCAAGATCACCTTCTTTGCTTATTTTGGAGCCAAGTTCTCTATGTGCACCATAACATTACTTTCTGGTAACCTTTGATGTGCTCAACAAATTTAATTATATATGTTCCAAATCAGTTCTATTTCCTCTTCTAACTTAAGGTAGAATTCATACTGACCAAGCTGTACCTTTTCTAGATTTTGTATGTATCTTACATCCTCTTAATCAGCAGACAAAATGTGATCACTTACCTAGGCCTAATAATGCACTCACTGTGACCTGTCACTTCTCTAATACTGACTTATTCTTTGTACTGGTACCAACAATACTCTCATTGCTTTAGTTTGAACTCAAATCCCCCTTCTTCCAATAACTTCCCTAAATTCCTTCAACGGAATTAGTCTCCCACCTTCCAGACCTCATTAACACCACTTGTGCTCCTACAGCACCTGTCTCCTACACTAATCTCCAGGATAGACTCTTAACTCCCAGGTGTATGCCTCCCACTGCCCAACACAGACCAGAGGGCATATCACAAAGTATGGCCTTGGTTACATTTACTTTATTGTACTGAAAGGTAAAGAGCTTAATTCAGCGTACATAACAACAGGCCAAGAGCGCTTTCTAATTCTGCACATCCTCCAAACTCTGCTCAACTGTAAAGTATTTTAAAAAACAAAACTATAAAAGATATAATGGGAAAACGGCAGTAAAGAAAATACAAATAAAACAGAAAGGCATGATAAAATGGATGTAATGCTCTCTGCATTTCCACACGCGGTCCGGTAGGTAAATCGGTGCCTAAAGCTCTCTTTCAGACTGCACCATTCTGCTCTGTCATCCCCTTTTACTCTCTTTCAAAACCTCGCACACCGCTCAACTTGCCTTAGGTCTCTCTCCTGGGGCCATGTACCCCAGAGTAAATCAGGCAACCGACTCCCTCTCGCCTGACTCCTCTTCAGGCCTCCACTGGCCACATTCACAAGAATAAGAGTGGGCAACCATTTCCCTTAAACAGTCTAACCAAAATGGAAGCGCGTCTAGACCTGGGTACCTTTAATCCTCTGTAAGCCCCAGATTTTTTAGGTCATCGTATCTCCTCCACTGACTACCGTCTCAATATGCCTTGAAGCAGACATCTGTCTTCCAGTCACTGTCTCTCCACAACGTCCCAACACCACCTTAAGGTCCCATTACTCTGCACACATGCAGCCTACCCGGTAGGCCTCAAGAAGGGCTGGTACGTAATTCCGGCGGTCAAGGTTCCCGAAAACGGCTTGACCTCTGGGCGCTTCGAGTCACACGTACCGCACGCCGTCTGACTTCCTTCCTCGAAACTAGTCTTCCCCACCCGTCCTACACTTACCGAATTTCCACGATTCCCCAGTAACGCGTCCACCGATCCCCTCCTCCACCTGGAGAGATCGGAGTCCCAGCTCTTGACTAACCTCACTTTTCCTTTTCCACTCCCGGCTGGGGCGGCTGGGGCGGCTGGGGCTCGGCCTCCCGCTCTCTCGAGGGTTTCCACGCCGGCCCCTGGCCCCTATTCTACCGCCGCTCCACCCCTACTCACTTTGGGCTTCTCGGGCAACTTCTTGCGGTTTTTCTTCTTCTGCTCCTCGCTCCTAAGATTCTTCAACAGGGCTAGATCGTCAGGGGCCGGGGCCGGGGCCGGCACTGCCGCCGCCTCCTCCCGCTTGCGGGGCGGGCTCCTCCGCTTTTTTCGGGCGCCGGCGCAAGCCGCGGCCCAGCCGTAGCAGAGCAGGAGAAGCAGCAGCAGCCCCAGCGCGCCGGTGCCCACCAGGATCACCCAGCCCGGGTACCGCTTCGGCTCCAGCCCCAGGTCGAGGCCCAGCTCGGTGCGCAGAAAGCCTAGGCCAACCGAAAGCATTTCCCGCAGCCGAGCCGAGCCCTCCTCGGCCTGCCGGGCCAGCTCGTCCTGCCAGCTCTGTGCAGCCATCTTCCCTCCGTCAGCGAGACTCGCAGGATGACGCTGGGGCGCACAGACGCTGTACAAGAGTCAAGGGAGGCGAAGAAGGGCCGGGCCGGACTGCCTCAGGCGGAGCGCATCGCGGCCGCCCCTCGCGCCGGAGCCGGGGATCGACAGCTGCCGCCGCCAGGAGAGGGGGCTCCGAGGTCCCCCTAGCCAGCCTCACTCCGCCGCCGCCAGAAGGAGGGGGGCGGCGGGAGGGAGTGTCTCCAGTGGCGGCCGCTAAGCGGCGTCTCGGCGCCAGTGCCAGGCCCCGCCGTCGTCCCTGGGCGGAACAATGGCGGCTCGGGCCGCGATCCACGCCGCGCGCGGGGATGGCCGCGGGTCACGTGGGCGCCATGGGCGGGACGTGGGTGTCACGTGGGCAGGGCGGGGCGGGGCGGGAGCCGTTGGGTCGAGGGCGCGGCTCCTGCGGTTGGCGGTGACCCGTTCTGGCCCTGGTGGAGGCTCCGAGCCTCGGGATCGCAGACCTTGGGCGGGCGTCTGGGAGGGGTTAACTGCAGGAAGCCTCCGCCGGGTGGCTGGTCCCTTGGCGCTAGGAGACGTGGCGCTTTGAAATAGTCCAGGGGAGGGGCTTTCGAGGAAGTCGGGGGTGGGGGGAGAGGGTGAAGAGCGTAACTGCGGGTCGGGGTGTCTGGGTCAAAGTCGCCCTAGTAGGTGTAGGTTTTCTCCATTCTTTTTCTGGGAGTGGTGTTGGGGTGGAATCAGCATTTTCTCCCTGGGTCACAGGGCTAGATCCTAACAGAGTGGGCTCTGAGTATGAAGCCGGACGTTCCACCTCCAAGCCCTAGGTTTCATTCACAAACTGGCTCTTTCTCTTCAGGGCCAACTAACATACCGCGTGCCTATCATTCGCTGGCCTGGCTTGGGCGGTTCGCATCAAATTCGCTCATTCACTCCTGCTCTGGGTGTTCCCCAGAATTCAAAACTTGAAAAGCCCGTGGGCGGCACTATTTTCCTACTAATCTGTAGCTTTAATGAGAAATAACAAGAGAAGCACGTTGGACCGTGTTTACGCGTAGAGGTAGCTTCCTCCTTGTGTTTTATTTTAAGCTTTCATACAAGACCACAAAAGGAGTTTGAAAAAAGTCTGTTTTTAGAATCTGTGTTGACCATCTCTGGGTAGAGTTAGGAAGAAATGAATTGCCCTTTCATATTTTAATTACAAAAATGATGGTTTGCGGGGTGCCTTGCGGTTTCTTTCCACTTTGCTATAAGGAAGTTGTTTAATCATTAAATAATAGCATGTAAGCAAGTATCTTAAGTGGATTAAATATTGTTGACCCTTGAACAACTCAGGGGTTAGAGGCACTGACTCCTGGACAGTGGAATATAACTTTTGACTTCCCCAAAACTTTGATAGCCTACTGTTGCCTGGAAGCCTTACCAAGAACACGAATAGTCACCTAACATATTTTTGTATGTTATATGTATTATGTACTATATTCTTATAATAAACTAGAGAAAAAATAAGAAAATCTTAAGGAAAATACATTTACGGTACTGTACTGTGTTTATTGAAAGAAATTCACCTGTAAGTGGACCTAGGCAGTTCAAACGTCTGTTTTTCAAGGGTCAGTTGTACAGACTTTCTCAAAGAATAGAAAAGGGAGGTAAGATCAATAAGCACCTAATGCCAAATATCTATTAAGGAGTATTTTGACCTACTTTGTGATTAATGGGTGGAAGGGAGTTTTGTAAATGAATAGTAAAAATGAAAGACTACTCTTGCTAAGCTTTATATAGACTTATAATTAAAGACAATGTAAGTTACAAGGCCAAAAACTTAGATGATGACATTGGGATCCGCTTTAACCCTAAAAGTTTCCAAATTCCATTTATATTTATGAAATTAGATTTATAATTCCACATTTTAACATTTTGTTTCTAGAGATGGGAAAGATGATGACTTTAAGAAGTTCAAATGCCCGTTCTAGGTTAACACCTGTGGATTTATGAATTAAGCTATCATACGGTAATAGTAGCAGGATGTGCCTGTTCCTTTGGCAGCCTAGCAAGTGTTGATTATGTAAAATAATTTCACTTTTTTGTGACTGTCCCTAAAAATGCCTTTTAAAAAAACCTTAAAAATAGATTAAAAATGGGGCGCCTGGGTGGCTCAGTCGTTAAGTGTCTGCCTCCGGCTCAGGTCATGATCCCAGGGTCCTGGGATCAAGTCCCACATCGGGCTCCCTGCTCTGTGGGAAGCCTGCTTCTCCCTGTCCCACTCCCCCTGCTTGTGTTCCCTCTCTCGCTGTGTCTCTCTCTGTCAAATACATAAATAAAATATTTTTAAAAAAATAGATTAAAAATGTATTTAGTAATACAGATATCATTTTTCATATATAACTGTATAGTCATCCAAGTATTTATATTTTAAAAAGAAATAAGGTCATATGCTATTTACTGTTTTGCACTTAATGTGGTCATGAACATTCATGTTCGTTGAGAAAGTCCATCTGAACACCAGGAACACACCTGTGGTGCCACAAATTTGGGTTTATTAACTTATGGCAGAATGAAGTTTAGGTAAAGCTTAAATGAAGCAATGCTTTGAAAGACTCTAAGCAAAGCAGGCTGTTTGTAAAGGAGTTACCAGGCCTGGCCCAAGTAGATTCAGAATCCTAATTCCTCAGAAGTGGCAAAATTAAGATGAATGTGAAATGTTCCTGAAACCTCTTACCTGAAACGTGGGTTGGAACTAAAGACTGCTTTTTCTAAGTATCAAAGTGACTCATACAATTGAATACCACTCAGAAAGAAAAAGGAATGAATTATAAATACATGCAACAACGTAGATGAATCTCAACATAATTATACTGAGTGAAAGAAGCCAGGCAAAAAAAAAAAAAAAGAGTACATATAGTATGATTCCATTTATATAAAACTGGAAAATGCAAACTATAGTGACAGCAAATCAAGAGTTATTTGGGGGAAGGGGGTGGGAGCAAGAAGTGGGAGGGAGGGATTACAAAAGGGTATCAGGAAATTTCAGGGACTCATAAATAAGTTCATTATCTTCATTGTCGTGATGGTTTTATGGGTATATATGTATGTGAAAACTTACCAAGTTGTATACTTTAAATATTATAGTTTAAGTTGCTACACCTCAATAAAGCAGTTCAAAGACATTTTTTTTTAAAGATTTTATTTATTTATTTGACAGAGAGAGACACAGCGAGAGAGGACCACAAGCAGGGGGAGTGAAAGAGGGAGAAGCAGGCTTCCCGTCGAGCAGGGAGCCCAATGCGGGGCTTGATCCCAGGACGCTGGGATCATGACCTGAGCCGAAGGCAGGCGCTTAACGACTGAGCCACCCAGGCACCCCAGTTCAAAGACATTTTTAAAAAGTGACCTGCATGGCTCAGACTCTTATAAGAGTGGGAAGTTCCATGCTTACTGAGGAGATTTCTTTTGTTTTCTTTTTAAAGACTTTATTTATTTGAGAGAGAGAACACAAGTGAAGGGAGGCGCAGAGGGAGAGAGAGAAGCAGGCTCCCTGCTGAGCAGGGAGCCCCACATGGGGCTTGATCCCAGGACCCTGGGATGATGACCTGAGCTGAAGGCAGACACTTAACCAACTGAGCCACCCAGGCGCCCCTCTGAGGGGATTTCTGACAAAATTTTTGCCAGTCTATGATTTTAAAAAACAAGGTTTCTCAATACTATATCCTTGATGTTTATTTTTTTTTAAAGTAGGCTCCATGCCCAGTATGGAGCCCAATTCAGGGCTTGAACTCACAATCCTGAGATCAAGACCTGAGCTGAAATGTCCACAGTAGCCAAACTGTGGAAAGAGCCAAGATGTCCATCAACAGATGAATGGATAAAGAAGATGTGGTGTATATATATACAATGGAATATTATGCAGCCATCAATAAAACCGAAATCTTGCCACTTGCAACGACGTGGGTGGAACTAGAGGGTATTATGCTAAGTGAAATAAGTCAATCAGAGAAAGACAATTATCATATGATCTCACTGATATAAGGAATTTTAGAAAACAAGACAGGATCATAGGGGAAGGGAGGGAAAAATGAAACAAGATGAAACCAGAGAGGGAGACAAACCATAAAAGACTCTTAATCTCAGGAAACAACCTGAGGGTTGCTGGAGGGGGGGGGGGGGGATGGAGTGGCTGTGATGGACATTGGGGAGGGTATGTACTATGGTGAGGGCTGTGAATTGTGTAAGACTGATGAATCACAGACCTGTACCCCTGAAACAAACAATATGTTATATGTTAATTAAAAAAAAAAAAAAAGACCTGAGCTGAGATCAAGAGTCAGATGCTTAACTGACTGAGCCATCCAGGAGCCCCTATCCTTGATGTTTATTAACAAAAGCAGTTTCCATAGGTTCACACAGTAAATATTCACTTATTTTATTGTCTGGCTCTACTGTAATTTAACATACTTTTATTGTTGGTTAGAATTACAGAGTTTATTGTTTGTTTTTGTTTTTTTGCTATTGATAGCAATTCTGGCATGAACATGCTTATAACTAAATCTTTGTGACTATCCATAATTACTTCTTAAGGTTATAATCCTGGCAGTGCAATTGCCTGAGTCATAGCCCACAATATGTAATCTAACCCTTTTAATTAGGAAGTTCTAAGGGGCCCAAAGAAGTTCTACTTAAGTCTCTCATTTCATAGAAGAGAGAAAGAAGGCTTCAAAGGGTTGTCATACCCTTGAGTCAGAGTGGCCAGGCTCAGAGTAGAATGCAGTCTTCTCATTGCTTTGACCCCTTGGCTGCTCTTCTTTTTCAGTATACTGTGTGATCGGTTCTTGGGATTAGAATGTGTATTTGTCTGCTCAGGCTGCCATAATCAAACTCCATAGACTAGGGAGCTAAAACAAAAGATTTATTTTCTCACAGTCCTGGAGGCTGGAAATCCAGGATCAAGGTGTCATCATGGTCAGTTTCTGGAAAGGACTCTCTTCCTGGCTTGCAGATGGTCACTTTCCTGCTGTGTCCCAAGAGGTGGATAAAAAGCCGGTGAACTCCCTCGTGTCTCATAAGGATACTAATCCTATCAGATCAGAGCCCTAGGCTATAACTTCATTTAACCTTAATTATTTCCTTAAAGGCCTTATCTCCAATTTCCGTCACATTGGAGGTTAGGGCTTCAACATATGAATTTGAAGGGGGGACATAAACCTTCAGTCCATAACAGTGCAGGAAGCTTCCACTCAAGTACTTACCTTTGAGGGCTGATGAAAGGAAGATGTAGACTTGGGTCTTCAAAATGTAGACTATTACCATTATACACTCCTGGGCCACAGGATAGTGGTTATTCCTAGGGAGACTGAGAGAGAATTGAGA